CCTTTCTTTCTTTGATGTCCTTCAGCTTCACACTTCCAAAATACATTTGATAGGCTCATAGGTGACTGTGATATCGCGCTTGTTGATTTGAATAGTGTTGTGGCAGAGGTTGGCTAGCCGGACTTGTGAGTTTACCAAAGTTTCTCTCATTGTAAGTTTAGTGTGGTTGTACAAGTCTGACGCCGCTCCTAGGATCATTCTCTAATTGTCCACACATAATTTGTTCGGTGTTGCCGTTTATTTTCACAGTTTGTGTAGATTTTACGATGACGGACTTTGGACCCTTGGGTTGGGACAGTACAAACTCTTCAGTGTCAAATTTCAGGATGTTGAGCTGGTTGTCGAATGCAAAACCATGTTGACTGATTAAGTCCATAGCCAAAATAAAGTCATCCTCTATATCAGCAATCAATTATTGATTTTTCCTAATCTCAGGTGGACTATGGTTTCTCCGTTCACATTTGCGATCTCTCCAGTCACTGCGTGCGGAATAACTTCCCTTGAAAGGAGCTTGGCTGGCATTGAACTTTTTGGCAATTTTGGAATTCATACGAGTTACGGCTGCGCCTGTGTCCACTGTTAGGGTGATGCTTTTCCTATTAATTTTTGCTTCAATAGTCAAACTGTCTCCAGTCTTTCCTAGTATTTTGACTGATATGATTCTGGGGGCTTTACTTGCACTAGTCAACACCCGCCCCTTTGTGTTGACTAATTATATATTTCCTGGTTCTGCTTTGAAGGCTGAGATTTACCAGAAGGAGAGCGAGCTTAGATCTTTGCGTCACGTTTTAAATCTCCCTTTCTTCCACAGCGGTAACATTCAATGTCCCCTTTCCAATTCCCTAGATTGCTTCTGAATCCAACCTTTTTCGCATTTCTTCCAGAATTTCCTCCACTGTGTCTTTAATTTGCCTCGTTGTTTTTTTTTGTCTCTATCTTATAAGCCGCTTCAATTTTTAGGGCTTGGATCAAAGATTCGCTGCTACTTGATGGTTTGTTTATGAGCAGCATTCTCTATACGTCCATATCCTTTACTCCATTTAATTGCATTCGGCCGCTAGCTTTTTTCTCATCTCTGCTACTGCTTCGGGGTAGGCCAAATTAACCAAACGGCGGATATCGGTTTGAAATTCTTGTAAGATTTCTTTAGAGTTATTTTTAGCTGCACGTGGTAAAGCTGCCTTCGGTGTTGATCTCCATAACGAACGGTGGTGGCTTAACTTTAGTATCAGGTGTAGGCGACGAAGAGATACTTCCTGTTCTCAAGTCACATTCCAACTTTTTGATCTTGTTCTGCACACTATCCATATCTTGGCGAATGGTTCCAACTTCGTGACGAACATTCCCAGCTTCCTGGATAACTTGGCGGCGTACACTTACAACTTCTTTCCGAACTTCTTCACGTAGGTACTTCTCCCAATGCATTCATGAATATATTATCTTGTACCTACAGAATTTTTGTCAGTCTAGTTTGTTCCTCAGAGGTTACGGTTAGCATCCATTCACGCTGAAATTCAAAATTTTCCTGAAGCCGGTCCTGCTCTTCTTGTTTCTCTTTTTGTCTTCGGGCTTCTTTTTCTAGTCTTTCTTTTTATCTTCGGTCATCCTCATCTTGCCTCGTGTCGTCTAAATTTTTCATGGAGTCCGCCAACATTTGTATAATAAATTTCCCAGAAAAAAACGCGCTGCACAACATACCTACACACAAGTAATTTCTGTGAATCCTGGCCCGGTTGTCGATGCATTTTCGTAACAATATCCTGCACCTTTGAATATTTCCGATGGTTTTGAGTATTGATGAAGGAATGCCATTCATAAAAAAAAAGAAACATATTTTTCAATGCTCAGGTATATTAAATGATTGATGACAAAGGAGAAGTTTTAGTTCGCGGTCTTATTGTTACCGTAGCTTTCAATGGATGAGATGAGCTTTGCGAGGGCAAAATCTCTAAGATAAGATGTCTTTCATTTTGCAGAGAGTGGAATTTTTTGCACAAATATCTTAGGGAAGCAAGAAATATTGACTTCATAAAATATACCCATATTTTTTTATGGATGCTGACTAAAGGTGGGTTCTAACATTTAATTTAATTTAATTTAGGATTCAATATACTTAATTTAATTTAAAAAGTCCGTCATATGGTATTGTATGGTAAACTTTATAAATTAAATTATATTGAACCTTGAATTAAATTAAATGGCTGTTAGAACCTAGCTTTAGAAGTAAGCGTAAGTAAGATTGATCTTTGAATATCGAAGGGAAAATTGGCTAGGGTAAAACTCACTAGATGCCGTTGGATGCCTAGTACCAAGTAGGACATGAAGTTTGTGGAATATTTTATACGGAGTCCACAAGCTAATTATTACTTGAATATTTTTTTCCATTGGCAATGATAAAAATTATCCTCCTGAAGCTGAATCGCAATTGGTGCCTCTGCCCAATTCCAATCAAAAAACATAATCGAGAATCTAATTCAATCGTATCTACCCAATGCATACTAAGAAACGGCACCAGGCATTTTCTGTAAAACGTAAGAACTATAAATAGGCAAACACGTCTCCAGGGAAAATAGTGAATGTTTTTTTATCAAATACAGTATTTCCTGATATTTTAAAATTATCTGTAGTCTAAAGAGTCACCAATAAAGCTTTATAACGTTTAAAATACTAATTTATACCAAAACCAAATAACCTGATGAACGGAAAACATACCTTTCTTCCGGTTATCGGGGCACAATTTGTCCCCCGATGATCCTTTCGGAAATAAACGACACACGTAGAATAAGAATCGAGCCGAGAGCCTAAAGCAATTTTTTTGAATTCCAATTCCATCCCCTGTTGGCATCTCGCCAAAATAGTTCAGCAGCAGCAGCAGCAGCTATCGAACCGCCCGACGACCAAGAGAGCGTTTTAACATTCCGCTCCAACCGTTTAAATTCAAGGGCCTACACCCTTTTGCGCCCGGCGTGTTTCCAACAACACTACTAGCCCATCCTGAATGAATAGGTCAGCTTTTATGCATAGTTTATTGACAATGTTATGCCTGTAATAAATTTAATATAATCTTTTCGAATCACTGCGGAATACATAAAAATATGGCTTTCCTTTTATGTTTACATTCGACTCTTTGAACACATACTAAATATAGCTTAGCTCTTGAGCAAAATAAAGCAGATCAATGCATAATTTGCTGTAAACGATTATATTTTTTCACCTAAATTTTCTGCTATAAAAGTAAAGCAGATAGTTTTCATTGGAGTTCATTTCAAGCAGGCAAATTTACCAAAGGTAGAAAATATCGACAGTCTCATCTTAACGGTCCACTTTAAAGTAACGTGTCTGGGTCGTGTGTCCCAAATGGACACATCTCGCAATATGTATTATAGCCACTTAGTGTAACATAGGCGTCCATTAGGTCGGTCGGTTTTGAAAGGCTTGTGTGTGGACAGTATAGTTTGTTTTAGGAAATCAACTTGACTGTCTTACCTAATTTTTGATTTATTGATATAAAATTGAACCAAATAATTCACAACTTTATTCCGCGGTTGGTTCTAGAGAAACACAATACTTATATTATTCAATAGAAAATTACTCGGTTTTCTGCTCCTTCGTATAGGTAATGGTAAATCATGTCCATTACGTGTGTTGTGGATGTTGGGATTTATAGAATTTCTAACTGTTTTGTGCACCGAGGAGAAAGAAATGGCAATGTGAGGAATCCCTTATGAAAAAACAATGGCCTACAACTGTCTCTAGCCTTCAATTTGCATAAGTGCCTAAGAGCCCTCTTATGTACGACAAATGCAGAATTAAAAAGTTGTCTGCTACTAAACGTTTATTGGGCCATTTAATGACAATGATATAACCAACTTCACCAGAAGAATGGAAGATAAGGAATGAACTTGAAAAAGAAAAATCAAAAAAAAAAGTATATTCTAGGAAGAAGAAAGCGGTCTCAGAGACGCACGGCAAGACAAATCAATAAAAAACCAACCCAGTAGACAAGGAAAAGGCTACGGTCTCTATCAAGCAGACACTAAAGAAGGAGAACAATGTTAACCTGAGGAAAGATCTTTCAGCCACAGTGGAAAGGAAAACCTACAACATCCAGCGAAAAATATAAGCATACATAGATGACGCCACCAGAACCATATACGGTCCTCATATGAAATCATGACGAACAGTATCTTAGATAATTCCTGGACCCCATTAACCAAGACCAAGAATAGAGTTCACAATGGAAAAGGAATCAGAAAGTGAACCACAAATATTGGTTGTAATGACAACCTGCAACAATAGTCACGCCTAATTGAGCCACCCTGTATACTCAAAAATATTTTCCCAAAATAGAGTCCCACGACCAGTATAGGTTGACATATGAATGAAATTCCTAAACTTATTAGTTCAGGACTTATAGACCAACGCGCGCTTAGCTGGCGGACCCTGTGTCCTGTGTATATACAATATTGAAAATTGAATTGATTGCTGATTGGTTAAGTTCCAACAAATTAAAGTCTGACTGTTACTTTCGATTAAAGTATTGTAGTAAATAATAATATACCAAGTTTGAACCTCTATTATACGACCGGAATATAGCCATGCTGACTCTAGTTGTTCTAACATAATGCTATCTGACCTTGTCCGTCATGTTTTTTATCAAATAAACAATGGATTGCAAGATTTCCAGCTGTCATGAAACTCTTTCATCGCGATTAATTTTTAACACATTCGAAAGTGCGTAGGCGTAGCTTGTCCCGCTAACTCATTTGCTGACTGGAATAAAGTTGTATGCATCACAAATACAAGCTTATATTAAATTTTCAACTTTCATGAAACTCTTGCATTTTTTTGGCGCTGGCTCCTCGACTTACTGTATTGAGGCATACATTGGAGAGACAAAGATACCAGGTGGAATCACATTTCCAGAACACCGAACCAAGCCACGAAGAGGAAAAACCGACAAATCAGAAATATAGCTCGACATGTATGGAATAGACAACACAGAATAAAATGATCAGACGCAAAATATTTGCCAGAGAACAACATTCGAGAAAAAGAAAGTTCATAGAGGCAAGATACTTGAAAGGAAGAAATGACATCTTCAGTAATCCATCGATCAAAATACCAAAAATTTCCAAGAATCCCACCTCAAATAATAACATTTTCCTGTTGGTATTTAAGCTCGTAGTTTTCATTAATTTTCATTTCCAATCACCTACCACCTTCAAACAAACAATAAACTAGCAGTTGTTAGAAAAAACATATTAGGTTTATTGAAAATACTTACAAAACGTAACTATTATTAATTAGAATCACAAATATTTCAATCCGAATCGCTAACACAATAATCCCCAAATACCTCTTCGTTTCTTTCTAATTGACTAGATAACGCTTTTATATTCTCAACAAGCGTTTTCTGAATAAAAACATCACGTTCTTGCTCTAAATTAGAATTAAGTAGCGTTAGTGGTGGAGGAGGTGGCGGAGGAATTATTTTTGACGGACGCGGTGGCGGAATTGGAGGAACATTATCAACATCCTGCCTTGCTTCTAAAACAATTCTCTCACTAGCTTCTACTTTAAGTACATTAGCATCAAACTTGGGTACTTGCGTTTCCAAATTTGTATTTGTCACTTCATCAATATCTTCTTCATCTTTCTGAATTCCTCTTTTGCGCCTTGCAGCAACAAAACGAGCATGTTTTTTAAGTGACTGTCTAAGTTCCTTCAACATTAAGCTCAGATAGGCACTGGATTGATCTTCGTAATCGTTTCTTGTGTCCGTCTTATCATCGTCTTCATTGGCTGGGATAAACAACTCATAATTTTCCTCACGAGCTTCACTGGGATCATCATAATTAATAATAGCTATATTCTGTTGTTCAGCTTGCTTACTAAATTTGACCACATTACCTTCCTTGGTAGAATTATTGCTCTTTGATAATATTCCATACAAACGGCAAAGCACATCCAACGACTCATAAGTCGCGAAAGCGTGATCCCTCAAATCGACCAACGCACTTTCTAATTTGTTTCGATCTTGTCCCTCTGCTTCCTCAACTTTTGCCAATACCGCCTGCGATTTTTCTGTAATAATAGACAAATTATTAACAGCATTCATTATTGTCTCTTTTAATTTTCCTGAAACTTGCCGAGTAATATTCGTTCTATTTCTCATATCAATTTCAACTTTTTTCAAAGTATTATAGCGAATATTATTAAATTCTTTTTGAAGTATAGCGTGAAGTTGCTGCAAAGTGGCATTAGTTTCGGGAAGGTTTTTATCTAAAAGAATTTTGAGCTCGATCTCCTTCAACTTTTTTAGATTCTGGCAAAAAGTTAACCCCAAGTAATTTAAATATTTCGAAGACAGGAAGATGTAGATATCTTGAACTTTTGCTGCTAATAGTTCTTGGTGGTCTTCGCTGTCAATTTCGGTGGTTAAAAGCGACTCAACGTTAAGTGCTTTTACTACAATAAAGTCGTCGGCCAATTCTTGGGTGATGGTAACTAAAAAATGTATTTGCTCAAAGCAAAAATTAAAATATTTTCTGAAGTATAATAAAAATTTACATAAAAACTCCTGCGAGATTTCATTGTTCAGTAAGTAAGAATCTTTTTGTTTACAACTTTTTCTCATTTTTAGATAACATATAATTTCGATATTCAACTTTCTCAATTTGGTAAAACTTTCAACTGTTTGCGCTACGATCTCATTACGCTTTCTAGCTTTCATAGTTGCCTTTTTTCTCGAGTAAAGGATAACTGAAGAAACAATTAATGAAGATATCAGGATAATTGGACTATTATACCTCCAAGCGACAAATGCACAACCCGCGCTAGTTAAACAGCTAACGATAGAACCTAATGGATATTCCGTGGATTTAGTGTTGTAAATTTTAAAACTAGACGCGCTTAATAGCACTTCGTAGTCCTCTTCCAGAAGCAATCCAGATTCCAATAACGTCCTAACGTGCTGTGATAACAGGACACTGTATTGCTCGTTCGGTGGTCGAATTCCGTCTGTAGTGGCCATGTTTCCTGAAATAAGAAACACGCATTAATGTTATTTTGTTGTTTAATGAGACGCTTGGATGGTAGTTTAAACGATTAAATAAATTGTGTTAGTAATTAGGTTAGTATTAATTATAAATAAACTATTTTTTTTGTTTGCACATGAGCGTACTTAAACACCGAAAATATGAATCACTCTGAATAGTATTGCCTCTTCAATATTTTATTACTACATATTCTGCTATCAGAAACCTATAAAAAAGTTGAATGTTTAGCTTCTGCTTGTGGTTATACCTATGTCCCCGAAGTGCCACAAACACCTTATTACTGAACTGCCTACGTAATTTCATACATCTTAGCTGACAGAATTACATTTTTAATGTAAACTTATGAGCTGCACCTTGCATTTTCATCGCACAACATAATTTCATTGATACTAAGGATCTCAATATGGCGACAGAAGCATATCTTGAATCAGAGCCCTCAAATTACCAGAAGTGGTTCAAGAACAGTACGAAATGCACAAATACCCCAATCGTTTTATAAATCAGTATTCTAAATTTGATTTCTATCTTTCTGATGACGACTAAAAAAAAACATGGTTTTATCATTAAAAAACTGTGCTAGCAATAACGAAAAGCTTTACCAAGACCTTCGGTTCTTGAATCTTTAGATTAAATAACTGCAAGCAAGGAAACTTCCAGTGGCAGTTCAGCTATTAGTTATCTTTCATGTAATAATTCTTTGACGTCTCGAGGAAGACTCTACTACGCCAAGAAACATTGTTTTGAACCATCTTGGCCTCTCACAGTGTAACGTGCTTACTGTCGACTGGACCATACCTACCTATAGCACTACACGCCCGTGCAAATGCTAGAAGAAGGAGCTTCTGTAGGAGATCTAGATCAGTGCAGATATCAAGCAAATGCGGATTCAGAATATCCCATATTTTTATGACATTCTGTAGACAAACGACCCGGAATTTGACTCAGCCGACCTAACACATTTTTATGATGCTCACTTTCCGAATGCATCGATAAAAATATGGATAGTTAGGGGGCATATTATAGTTTATTTTTGTACAAAAACTTCTTGGAGGTACTAACAAAAAAGTACTTTGCTAAATTGGGGTAAACTCGCCCTGATACATAAGTCTCATCGACCTAAACACAAAGCTGACCAGAAGTTTCAATCCATTGCTGACGAGGTGATTAGGTCACAAGCAATGGCGGAGGTGAAAACGGATAAATTACATCTTTGATGTATCTTCGCGTCACATCCTCCAGGTTGGTAATCACCACAAAATGTAAATTCTAAAACCTTAATTTTTTAACTGATTTTATCAAACTTTTTTTGTGTAGTCATTCAAATAGCACCTTCAACGAGCGAGTAACCCAATTTTTGGGCTGTGATTACTGCCAACTGTGACCCTTTTTATAAACTCAAACTTCAAATATACCTATCAGGATTTTTTTCATTTTTTAAGTGAACCTAACTAGTAATTATCGAGAATCTGGTATCATATTTTCCTAGAAATATTCCTAATAGTAAATATTGCTTATTGTTGACCGTGATAACAGCCCAAAAATAAAGTTACACACTCGGCAAGGGCGCATAAAAAGTAAAAAAAAGGTGGTAAGTCCTTAACGTAGAAACACTGTATATTTATGCACGAATTAGATATCCAATCATTTGTTGGTTAGTTTAAATTTGGTATTTTAGGTTTAATCTTGTGTAAATATTCAAGTATTTGCAGCATGGGTACTCGCAAAGATATAAAGGAACAATTCTATAGATTCTCTGAAGAGCTATTTACCCACCAATAAATATATATTTTAATCAACGTTTGAGATCAATAATTGGTGAAGCCAAATGTTGATCACACATTTTTTATTGTGCTCCTGACTGATTTACTAGTGTAGTAACCATTCTTTGTAAGTGATCTCAGGACAAAAGTAAGCTTTTTTGCCAATGATTCAGTTTATAGGTTCTCATATCTCATTTCTACATTTGGTCTTTCGCAGCCTATAGTTTGCTATTCTGGCTAGTATTGATCTGTCGGTGAGTTTAATTATGGCTTTGCTACTTTTCTTTCTGAATTTTTCCTGCAGTGTTCTTTTGTTGGATTTTTTTTTTCGGTACATACACTCATCAAAATAGTCTAGGAAACTAGAAATATCTGTCTTTTAATTTTAGGAAAGAACAACTTTTTAAAAAAGATAAAGTGAGTATTATTTATTGAACAAATCTTGTCAAATTTACCATGTCGGCTTTTTTTTGCAAACTTATTTAGTTTAAATATTTTAAAAATAAAATTAGCAAAAATTTCTGATAAGTATAGGAATTATCTTGTTCCGTAGACTATTTTGATGTGTGTATTTGTTTCGCGGCTTCTATATATCTATAGAGGATAGAAAAAAAAATATCGCCTTTACTACTGGAAACGGCCTATATCACTTTAATGCCGTTGGGATAATATAATGCACCTCTCACATTTGAAAAACTGATGGAGTGAATTCTCCAAGGGCTCGCTTGAGAGACATGCTTGGAATACTTGGATTATGTCATCGTGTTAGGCAAAGATTCCGACTAACCTCTGTCGCACTTGAAGAGAGTTTTCGCCAGGATTAGTAGTGCCAACCTACACAATAAACAATAAAAAACGCACTGAATCCAAGGCGAATCACTCTCAATTTCACTGCCTGAAGGACACCAAATATGGTTAATATCGGAGGAAATTTTCATTTTCCCTTTCAATAGCCTTTTTTTAATTATTGCTTTCTCAGTTTGCATTTTTGAATCAACTTTTTTGGTTTGTTCTAATGCCAAGAGTTCTGCCATCAAGTCAATCGCACTTTTAGGTTTAGGCGGCAACTGGATTACGGGTTCGATTTCGGTTTCTTCCTTACTACGCTGAATACCGCTCGGCCCCGCTATTGCGGGAAAAGTATCGTTTACTATGGCAGACTTTGCTATGGCCTTTGCTATGACACGATGTGGGCGGGGGCGGTACATACTTTGGCGGTACCGGCGGTTTGGTCCTGCAATGGTCCTGGTGTGGCGTCTTGCACTTTGGGGTCTTGCATTTTGGGGTCTTGCACTTTGAGTTCCTGCACTTTGAGGTCTTGCAATACGCTCAATAACGCTCGGCATTTCAATGGGTGAAATACTACATGGAACTGGAACATCCTGAGTACTGCCGGATTCTTAAACAGGCTCATCTATGCGCGATCCTATCATAGACTGATTTGGTTGCTCTGGTACCCCCTTCGTCCCCTTCCATGTTATTCTTTGATTAAAGGAGCACTTATTGAGGCAAACTGGAAATAATTTGTAAAATTATTAACAGTGACATCAGGTTTTGACAATTACACATTAACAATCGCGTTCCGTAATACGGACCTCTGGGTACAAGAAAGTGTTGCCTGGCATTCGCATACATTGCATGAAACCTTGTGTACTTTTTCCTTTTCTGAAGCTTTGTGTTTCATGCATAGTTCTTTCGATAGTTAGTTTTGCCCAATTATTTTTTCCATAGTATTATTTCTCTATAATAATTATTGTCGCCTGTTTGGTTTTCTTTCTTAACATTGTAGTGGAAATAAAGCCCTCTAATAATCATCTGGCAACCTTGATTTTCAGCATTATTTTTTTTTTTAAATCCCCATATGTTTGATCATTGCAGTTACTTTATCTACACCGGATGCTTGACCGCTTTCTGAAATTTTCCAATTTAAGATATTTTCGAAAAAAAAAAGTTTGTTCAGGGTTTAGACTGAGTACTGCATTTAAATACGGTTGTGCATTTGTTCATTGAAGTTTGAACCTACAGTTATGGAATTTCAAAATAGGGTATTTGACAAATTTATTGTTACACCATGGATTCTCAACTATTCTAGGACCGTTCACACAGTTCTTGTATTTCAGGAAGTATTTAGCCAAATCTGTGGTATTAAGTGTAAATTCGAATTATAAAACTATATTCTACAGCTTTATTTCTTTCCGTTTGTTATTATTTTTCAACTTGTTCTCTGAAGTGTAATCAGGATTATTTGTAGTAAAATTGAGATTATAGTAATAAACATCCTCCATGAGGGATGAAAACTGTTCTAGCTATGATTTTCTTCACTCTTGCGATCATGGAGTTACTGTTGCAAGGCAATAACAAAAAAAACACTGCCCTGGATTTGTTAACATTAATTGAGCATGAATTGGAGTTTAATAATAATTATTTGTAAGTGATTTCGTGTAAAGTACTTAATGGCTTTTTTTTTATCATGAGACACGTGAAGGCGTCGGTAAAATACCTATATAAGTACACATCATATTAGAAAATACAATTAACCATTTCCTTCAAAATAAGTAATTACGTATAGGTAGCTCTATGTGGTTTTCTCGGTTGTTCCTTGTTTCGACAAAATCGCAAACTTCCTTATCAAAATAAATAAATTTCGATAAAAACAAAAAACCACACTAGACAGAAAAAGCTTCCAATTCAAGATTATTTCAAAATCCAACTTGGGGCCGCTTGAACTTATTCGTGAGTAAGTGGAACTTTCGAAAGAAAAGCTGAGATGAAAATATTCTGTACTGAAAACTACTTATATAAGTGGGAAATATGGCGCTACTGCTGAATAATCATAGGGTTTTAGTGAAATAATTAAAACGTTCTATAACAAATCTATAATATGAAAAAAAAGTACAACATTAAAATGTGCCGTTGCAACCATAGAATAATTAAAACTTCTAGGGGTAGGTTTCTCAATAGCGAGTCTCCTCCAGGTTGGTTTCAGCTCCAGGGTGAACGTGTCCAGTTGCAATGTTTACCCTGGAGTTATGCTTAACCCGGTGGTGACTCGCTGTTGAGAAATAGGCCCTAGATGGCAGCAGGAAGTAATCTAATCCCAAACTCCTAAAAAAATGTGGCTCGTGAAGTTGGCCGCAAATAATTTCACATCGTTGCCATTGCTGTACAAGTCAATCCAAATTTAAACCCTATTTAAATTATTCCGAACAAACCCAATTTATAATAGGTTTCTGATGGAGAATACAACAACGATTAACTGCAACACAAATCGATAGGAATCAAATATATATCCCGTCCGCCATGATATCAAGAATACGTAGAGAATCGAGTCATGCAAGAAAATGAAAAAATAAATAATTGTAACAAAATAATTTGAGTTACCTTTATAAGTTTAAGGATGTGGCACGTTTAGACCCCCAGATGTCATTAGACGCGAACTACAAATAACCAGGATATTCGTTTTTAATTTGTTCGACTGCAATAATGTCGAAAAATGGGTCTGTTTGTGCGCTAAAACCTCGTGTTTATATCGATTGAAGGCGCTGTGGCTTTGACTCGATCGGACTTGGCGGGAAGGATAGACACCGCGCCGCTTGCTGTGTTGCCGGGTCCAACAAAAAATGTTTTTTTTTTTTTGCGAGAAAAATAACATTTTAAATTTGGTGATACAATTCAGGTTGTTAAAAAAAATTATATTTTTATTCTAATTTTTCAAATCTAATGAGTCAATTTTTGTTGTGTTATTCTGAGCTGAGCTTTGTAAGTATTTTCTGTTTTTTCTCTCGAATATTAACGTTGTTTTGTCCCCCTTTTTATCAACTCGAAGTCGAAATATTGAGTAAGAGCAATTGAAGTTTTTTTCCCACACAGACCGCTTCCCGAAATCTACACGAACAGGGTGTATATTTTAAGTGATACCACTATTGCTATATCCGAAACGGTAAGAGCTACAAAGTCGGTTAAATTAGGAAAAAGTTGCTTTTTTTCAAGACTCAATTACAGTGTTGCCAAATTCCTTTTAGTTTATGAAATACAGGGTGATTTCCAAGAAACGCCTAAAAATATTTCATCAATTATTCCGAAAACTATTGATTTTCGAGATACAATTTAAATTTGAAAGTTTTTTAATTTTTTTCGCTCTACAACATGGCATCTTAAAATTTTTTATCCGACGTTTCGTGATCGAGCTACCATCGCAAAACTTAATTTTTTTAAATACGGATCTATGTTTTTTATGTCTTTTTTGGAAAGCGCCCTTTATTCCCTTTTCAACGATATACCACTTAGGTATGATTAGCCGACGTTTCTGCTCTTAAAAGTGATCATCAGTGATTTTTACCGAAATAATTGATAAAATATTTTTAGGCGCTTCTTAGAAATCACCCTGTATTTCATAAACTGAAAGGAATTTGAAACACTGTAAAAGAGTCTTAGATGGACATCAAAAAAGACAATTTTTTTCTAATTTAACCGACCTTCTAGCTTTTACCGTTACGCAGATATAGCAATAGTAGTATCACTAAAAATATAAACTCTGTATTTATCTATACAGGAGTTGAGGATATGAAGCTTTCTTTGTAGAAAAAAACAGAGTACCTATATATTTTTATCTAAAGACCTACAAACTTTATTAAAATAAATTAACCTTTTTTATTTGAAAAACGTAAAAGAAAAGGAAAAATGAAAAGAAAAAGTAACTTCGGTATTTGGTGATAATGTAATATAATATATTATGTTTTTTCACAGAAAACATCCATATCCTCCTGTGGAGCAGTTTATATTTATAAATATATATAAGTATATACAGGGTGTATATTTTAAGTGATACCACTATTGCTATATCCGAAACGGTAAGAGCTACAAAGTCGGTTAAATTAGGGAAAAGTTGCTTTTTTTGATGCCCATTCAAGACTCGTTTACAGTGTTGCCAAATTCCTTTTAGTTTATGGAATACAGGGTGATTTCTAAGAAACGCCTAAAAATATTTCATCAATTATTTCGAAAACTATTGATTTTCGAGACACAATTTAAATTTAAAAGTTTTTAATTTTTTTTCGCTCTACAACATGGCATCTTAAAATTTTCAATCCGACCTTTGGTGATCGAGCTACCATCGTAAACTTCATTTTTTTTTTTAAATACAGACCCAGATTTTTTATGTCTCTTTTAGAAAGAGCTTTTTATTCCCTTTTTACCGATATACCACTTAAGTATGATTGGCCGACGTTTCTGCTCTGAAAAGTGATCATCAGTGATTTTTACCAAAATTTTACCTCAATTCGGCCCTACTTTTCAGTATAGGTCTCAATTACATTTTATCGGAAATCAAGACTTCTCCGAGTGCGTCTGCGCAATGAAGTTGACAACAAGAATGCGTCTGTCGTGGTGATTTTGTTTATTGAAGTGAAAACTTCTTATAGGACAAGGACTTTAGACAAGAAGCCTATTGAACCTGTTAATAGGAGAGAAAGAGAGGTCCGTTTAACGCCTAGTTTTTACCCTCTTGTAGAGAGGAAACACAGGCAACGAGTCTGTGCGTAGAAGAGAAAGACAAGTGACAAACTGGCGTGAGTAACAAAGATACAGAGTTGATGCGTGAGCATTGGAGAGCGGTACTTCGCTATCACGGGTGTGTATAATAAAGAGAGAGAATGTACACGTGGAAGGCAAAGAAATACACAACGTGTTTCTTGGCTAGCGTATAGGAGGAATAAGGAAAGCTAATCGTTTCGTATGCAACGTTGTTCGGGAATTATATGTGAGTGGAACTTGGGTAGCATGTAGCTACTATTACTACTATTGCTACTAATAATATGGACAGAGAATCATGAAAATTAAAAATTAAATTGCAGAGTGAATGAATTTATCTGTTTTTCCAGTCAACTTATGGTCCACTAATCTCTTCTGTTCTATGCACAGGCATAGTACCTATATCATATCCTGATGCATAAGGGTTCGAATGCTCGGAATGCGATAGCCTGTCCGAGGGCGCTCGGCTCTCTCCCATAGAATGGGATAGAGGTCCGAGAGTCGCCTATACTCAACCTAGAATTATAGAGTTTAATATTTTTCCATCATTTGGTAAACTCAGGAACAGATGTTTGTGTTTTATGCAGTTGCAAGTCAGCTAATATCATTGTTTTACTTTATAAGTACCTACCCCACATATATAGATATTTATTTCCGAGGTATTTTGAAAGTTTTACAAGTCCTTCGCAGAACTGGAAGATGCAGTAGAAAAATATAAACAAGAAAATTTTGTGGAATTATGCAAAAGAGATAAAAAGGCTTGAAAGTGCAAGCGTGAAGAAAAAATGTCCACATATGGTGGTTACAGCTAACAATAACCTAAAATATTACCTATTCAATTGAATACACATGCGCGAGGGGCGGAAGAGCTTATAATTTTTAAAATTTCATAGTTTGAATTTTAGGTTTAAAGTAACAATGGTTAAATAAATTCGAACTGTTCGAAGTTACAATAATTATTGAAAGTCAATTATTTTCCATTTTAATTTTTAGATTTTCTTATTTTGCATTCATTAATGAGAATATATAGGTACTAGAGTAATAAAAAAATACCTATTTGAAATTTTATTTTCTTTCAGTACTCAAAAAATATATTTACACCTAACTTATTAATTAATTATTTCAAGGAACCTTCAATAAGTACCTAGGTTCAATATTCAATATTAATATTTCCGCTCGGACCTATATCAATAATCCACGCTAAGGTTCCGACCAGTCGGACCTAGTTCACTCAAAGCTATTGCACTGTTACGTCATATCATTCCATCTTTCTTTATGCACTAGACGTATGTCCTAAATTGGTCTCGCAATAAATTATGGCGTTTTCCATTTGTTGCACGGAGGTGCAGTCAGTACAATTTTTATATTCCATTCGACTGCACGTTATCAGTTTTCATCTTCCATTTGAATTTCAGTGATACATAAAATATGCAGAGCAGAAACCAGAAACCGGCAAGTGCTAAACAAAAACAAAAAACCAACATACAGTCGTGAGTATTGAAAGTGGGACAACCGACTGACAGGTCTTGTCATTTTTTGCTATTTTGGGTAAATCAGAGAAAAGAGAAAAGTCCCTACAATGGATTTTTTGTCAAATATGACAATCGCTGTTATTGCCGTAGGTATGGTGGTGAGCTCGTTTTACAATAGGAAAAATCGGGTGTACCACTTTCAATGCTCACGACTGTACCATCGTCACCAAAAGTAACTGGGATAGAATCATATTAGCTCTTGTACTATGATATGAATGTTAGTGTCAAATATTTGTCAAACGGGCCGTGCTCCGGAACAGAAAATAGGTACAGAGACATCTTTTGGCTTAAGTAAGAAATAACGTACGAGTCTATCTGAGACGTACGTTTTTTTTTTATTGACGTCAGAAATTATGACGTAACAGTGCAATAGCTGTGACACACTTAATTTTTTTAAAATTATTTTCCGAACATAGTCATCAAAAATATACGTTTGTCCCAATGCTTATATATTTTTGCATTTTCACCCTTTTTCAAGTGCCGCCTCGCAATTATCACCAAGGACCTGGTATTTGAAATAATTTATTCCCTCACAAAATAAATTTAAAACGTAAAGAACGTTTCAATCGAATAACCTACCGCATTTATGAATCCCAATAAATTTTATGATGCATGCATCAGAGACACTTACTGAATGTGGATGAATAAATTACTTTCAAAACTTTATTTTATTTTTAGGGGTTTCCAAAATAACTGGAGCACCTAATATTCCAAATTTTTGGTCTTCCAGTTTTAAATTTCGGTAGTGAATATTTCCAGGTAAAACCTGTTCAAAAAGGCTTTTTCCACAAATGTGTGTGTGTTTTTTTTTTTTTTTTGATAAAATCTCCTTGGATAAGATGAAGAAAGCCCTATATTATAGTTAGGTATCTAATTTCTTTGTGCTTTCATACGGGTGACAATTTGAAAAGTGGCAATCAGGAATATTTCTTAGACAAAAAATACTATCAGGAAGATCTGAAATACGTATCGGAGGAACCAATACGAGGCACTTTTTGAGCCACGCCTTACCCCTTAGGGGGTAGCTACTCTAACTTATTTTTTTTCAAATAGGTACGAACCTTCCCTGTGTTGCACATCTTTGGATAGTCATTGCTATCCCTTTACATTCTCATCGCAGAATCTTAAATCGGACGATTAGTTTTCGAGATATCGGTGTTTAAAAGTAAAAATTAAACACCGATATCTCACAAAGTAATCGTCCGATTTAAATTTTGCTATAGGACCGTAAAGGGATAGCAACGAGCAACGATGTGCAATGCAAAGTAGGTTCGTATTAAAAAAAAATAAGTTAGGATAGCTACCCCCTGGTGAGGGGTGGGGGGGGGGGGTGATGCGAGGTGACTCAAAAAGTGCCTCATTTTGGTTCCACCTCCAATCCCCCGAAACGTATTTAAGATCCTGATAGTATTTTTTGTTTAAGAGATATATCCGATTGCTACTTTTCA